GAACAGCATGTGTTCACTAATGATTTGTTGTGTTTACCATTTTCTGCTTGTTTAATTCTGAAGTTATGAAAAGAGAACTTTGTTTCTTAACTGAGTGAAGCTGTTATTGTTAAGACTAGGAAATTCAATTGATGGTTTACAGAATCACAAGTGTTCTTCATGTTTCTATGAAAACATACAACTCTGTAAAGGCGTTGCTTGCCCTTGAATTTCTGTACCATCAAATAATCTGATATTAAAAAAACTGATTTGTTTATGTTTAGACCAGTATGAGAGACACATTTAACATTGAAATACTCCTTTTGTTGTATTTCATATGGTCATCATTGTTGTGGACTAAAGTGGTGGATTGGGATAGTTGATGGGCTGAAGGGAGGCTATCTTTGTCCATCAAAGTACTATTGATTCTCCTATTTTTCTCCTATTTTTTAGACAAAGTTTCCTATTTTTTCCTATTTTTTTCAATCCTGAAATTCCTATTTTCCTATTTTTTGAGCAACTTTGTCACTGGACACCCTGCTAACCTAAAAAGGGACTGTCGGTACTCATAGTATACAATACGTTTTTCACACATGCTTTGGTCAATTTTGGCAGGGGGGAGTTGGGGAAAATTTGTGATATTTGATACATTTTGTGGCCAAATCAACACAGCTCTGACTACTTTAAATAACTTTATTTTGGTTCAAGAAGGTGGAATTGGCAATCTCTGTACATGTAAATAACAACAACTTGTTATGGTATGATTTATAGATTCGCGCTGTTGACAAAGTCCCACCACAGACTGCTTGGCTGAATGAAAGACACAAAGTAAGAGTTTCTTGCTCATGAAGTTGGAATTTGTATGCAGTAGATTGCCAGTATTTTCTATTGTCCTTAGAATCTATAAGACAAAAGCATGATAATTAAATGTTGTATTTGCTAATTAAAAATACAACTGTTGGAGGTACATGTACATGTACTATGTTTTTAAGAAGTACATTAAACCTGATAACTTGAACCTCCAGTGGAAACAAATGTTAGTTTGAAAAATTGGGTAGTTTGAGTAATGGGTTTAAAATTCGAAAACAAATTAAAATGACTTTTGGTTTGAGTTATCACAAGGTTTCGAAAAGTCAAGGGTTCCAGAAATCAGGATTTCTCTGTACTTCAAAAGTTCAACTCTGAAAGATGATACGGTAATTAGATTTAAATACTGTACTCTTCACTACCTAACAGGAAGCCTTTAAGCACAGCAGTGTTGAATTCAGGAGTGCCAATCTTATTAATCCTGGTGAGAGATTTATTTGTTAATAGTTTGCCAGAAGTTAAATGGATTGCATGAAAAAGAACCACTGTGAGGAGAATCAGTCTTACTATAACTTACTATGATATCATTCACTAGGTGACTGAACACAGTTTTTGATACCTGTGTTTCATTCACCTTTTTCTCTAAAACCCTTGATCCCTCAATTGCCAAAAATGGCAGCAAGCAAGAAAACAACACCAGCTTTGGTTTTTTGATGATTAAGCTGATGTATGTGTCGTTGCCATGGCAACATGAATAAATATAAACAGGCCTTTAAAGTCGGTTTTGTTTATTTGTAAAAAAATCTAGTCATTAGATTTTCTTTATAATTTGCATGCAACAAGCTTGTAATGATTCTCACAAGTTAACACCATTTTGCTAATAATTTAATAGAGAGATCTTTCATTATCCCTTGATGAAGGTTCACCGGAATATCTAGAATTTCCTTTGTTAAAGTTCAATTATTTGTAATACTCCAGTTACCTACCTCCTAAAGTATTTTCGTGCCAAATTTCGTGAAATTCTAGTGAGTGGTTCTTGAGAAATAGGCATATTTCCGAGAGTGCAATTTTTTCATTCAATCGCAATTTTTTGACTTACTATGCATGCGCTGCATTTTACTGAGTTCTTTTGGGTTCTTTATGTAACAAAGAAAAAGCTGAGAATTGCTGGGCTCTTTGCATTGTTACCTTTTCTAACATAGTGTATTTTTGTAATAAAAGACTAAAGCCATCAATACACTGTGTTCAACTATAGAGAAGTGTTGAGTAAATAAAATGATCGCTCTATTGACGGCGTGTTTGTTTTTTGCAATCCTTATGTGCGCGCTGAATTGCATCAGCTAAAGTGCGAAAACTGTGTTCGACCACCTTAAATCGTGTAGAAAAACTGCAGACAGAAGTTCTTTCAAGACATTCTTTCTGAAAGTGTCATTGATTATCAAACGCTGATTGCCGTTCTTCCACATACAATATATAGTTTATCAGGAGGACACACTTTTAAAAAATTAAAGCTATTAAGTCCAACTGACTCATAGCTCTCAGAGCTCAACTGCTATGTCTGTAGCATGAAGCAGTTAGGAGTATTGCTATTCCCCCTGGATGGGATGCTAGTCCATTGCTTATTACTGCCCAGCAGTCCATCAGGGTGCCCCAACAATTCACCAGTACCTGTTGAAACAACTGGGTGAAGTTCGAACTGTGAGGGTTATTGTCCAGGAACACAACACAGTGACCCTGGGGTGGCACATTAGGTCATAATTGTACAAACCTGTAAGATGTCACACTTTAAACAGTAAGTGAAATGATGAGCAGTACAGTGGTGGACGTAACAGTCAGTCATCAGACATTGTCTGACCAAACTCTGAAATTGTTTAAGTGCATGAGAATAAAACCATATGGATTCGTGTTTTGTTTTGCTTTAATAGCCTGTTCAGACTTACATAAAATGTGAAATAAACATGCACTTTGAAAATCCCCTCATGATGCATAAATGAAATTATGACTTTTTTTTCCTTTGCTCAGTTAGTGTGGAGAAAGCATTTCTGGATGCTGACGGAGATTTTGATGTTTGTATCAACTGTGCTGCAGAGACTCGATATGGACAGTCTGAGGAGGTGAATAATGCCAAGGATTAATTCATATGTACACAGTTATTTCACTTGTTGCAGAAAGTTGTCAGTATTACTGGTTGTCTTGTTACTTGAATTCTGTTAATAATGATACCATGGAAATTGGTGTGGCTCAATACAGGCTACCAACAGCATGAATACAACACACATACATGTGGGTAAAACTGTAAAATGTGTTCCATTACTACTACATGTAATTATCTGTGTGAAGCCTTGGAGCCAACTGGGTCATAGCTGCCGGAGCTTATCCCGGTTTCTGTAGCATGAAGTGGCTAGGAGTATTTCTACTCCCCCTGGACGGGATGCTAGTCCATCGCAGGTCACTCCCCCACAATTTGTTAGGTTTCCCCAACAATTCACCGGTACCCATTTATACTCCTGGGTAGAGAGAGGCACTATGAGAGTTAAGGATCTAGCCCAAAAACACAACACAGTGTACCTGGCCACAGCTCGAACTTGAACCGCTCGATCCAGGGATGAGTGCACTAACCATGAGGCCACTGTGCCTCCACATACATGTAATTATCTACAGGGGAAAAATTGACATGAAAGATGGCAACGATAAAATCATTGGCCATACATGTACATGTATGTGTGTATGGCAAGTATCAAAAAGTCAGTTTCATTGATTACCAGAAATGATTATTATTTTGAAGTATGTAGTCTAAAGGAATCCAGGCTCCCATGGTGTTTGAGTACTTTTATTAACAATAATGCTGAATTAATTAACACAATTATAACGCCAAATTGTGCTTGAAAAGTCCCTGAAAAAGGGCTCTGAAGTCAGTATGAGGTGGAGCCATGGGGTCATGTAAGCTCAAGAGCCTGTCCTTTGCTCAGGGTAAATAACTGTCCCTTGCTTGTCTTGTTGTCTTGTTTCCCATGCCATGCAAGTGCTGCTAACATGAATCAAGAATAAGTATAAAGGTTGAACCCTTAATAGTCCTGCTCACTCACCTGCTTTTTAACTTGACTGTTTATAGGTTTATGCAGATGGGGTATTTAAACTTAGCATGAACTGTGCAAAGCAAGCAGTAAAGTGCAATGTGAAAAGGTACATCGAGATCTCCACAGCTCAAGTCTATTCCTGTGACAAGGTACTGTAAGATTTGCCTAATAAACATTAGAAGGTTTCAAGAATTTATTGGTCAGGAGTTCTCTAATTAAATTGCATTTATAATCTATCTTTCATTAATTCTGAAGTTTAGAACAAATAACAAACAATTGCACATTATTTTTTATAATTAATATTTACACTTCCATCAATTATTGTGTGATCAGTCGTCAGTCAAATGTAGTGAAGTCAGAGGTTAACTGAACAGTTTGTTGCTGTATGAGCTAAAAACTAGTAGGAAACCTTTAAAGATTATTTCCAGTCTGTACTGTGAAGTGTCAGCACCTCAATGTTTGTGAGTCTCAACTAATGGGATGCAAATCGACCTTGTTATTCATAGACCTTGTTATTATCTTTGACGCATTTTAAATTCTTTTCCCAACAGTTTCTTTGACTATTACAGCTACAAAGTTGTTTCACGTAGTGATATCAGAAAGGATGATGCATAAAGCGTCACATCCATGATGGCATTTGACATGAAACTTTTATTTACCTCACATAAGTTCTGCAGACTTTGCAGAATGTTACAGTTTGTGATGGCTTTTATGAATCAAAAACAAAGACCTAAACACACTCTCGTGAGTGCACAGGACCAACAGGAAATCATCTTTGGGAGTTGTCATGGGGGACCATTTGGGACAGTGCCTGGTCCAGTGCTTGGACAATAATGAATTGGCTGATTTAGTAATTCCCTGTCAACTGACGTAGTCACTGTATGGTTTGTTCATTTGCAGGGTGTTAGTGATGAGGAGAGCAGGACATCTCCTTGGACTTACATTGCAAAGTACAAACTGATGGTAGAGGAAGAACTATCTAAACTTGATGGGTACGAAATCAAATTAGTCAGTCAAAGAGTATTATTATCCAAAGACTACTCACTTATTGCTTTTTTCCCATCTTCTCGTTTAGATTAAACTATGTCATTGGTAGACCAGCTGTTATTTATGGACTGGCTGACCGGCAAGGACTAAGTAAGTTGCTATGTATGATACATGTCAGATAGCTGTGTTGACAGAAAGACTTAGCCAAGGGGCAGCTGTTGTGTGTTAGGACATGGAACATCCTATTCTCTCATTTCAGTCTTAATCATGTCACAGTGATGAAGAAAATTTATTAAAAAAATTTTAAAAAGAGAGATGATCGATATATGAACAAGCAAGTGGCAGTTGAAGAATGTGGACTAAACTATGAAAAGACCGGTGGCTGCAAACAGACACGGCATTCATTAACTACAGACTATTTAATAAATATTATCAGAGACCAAAGTTAGGGGAATGTGCCCTCCATTTCTTCCCTTTGTCACGGTGGGAAGGAGAGGAATGGTAGTTACAGGAGTCAGAGGCTTCAACCTCTTGTTCTCTTCCGTGTAAACAATGGCCTGTCATCCCTCTGGTCTCCTGGTAATTGAAGGTAAGCTGATTGTTAAATAAATTAAAATGAAAATTGTGTTGTTTTTCCTCTACTTTCTGGGTTGTCAAAAATGAAGCTACTTTAACCCTTTCCTCGCACACATCCCTTAGCTTTCCGTTCTCTTTGAACCCTAACTTTGTGGTCTTTGGACTCAAAGTGACTTACAGTAATTGATCCTTCTTCTAACAAAGACATTTTTATAATTTTCAGCTCCAAGATTGATTATTGGTGCTGTCTATAAGCAAATGGAAGAAAAAATGAAGGTAACAACACTGACCTGTACGTTCAAAATGGACGCAGGTCTGTTTATTGTCAGTGTTAAATTGACTCTATGCTGCTGACCCAAAGTTTCACCAGTGACAGTGTCAGAATAAGAGCTGGTGTGTTTTGTAGCCCTCATCAAAAAAATGCAAATTTCATTCAATTATGCTGATGGCTCAGTTGTTCAAAATGCTAATAACACTAATCTAGTATTAAAGTTCAAAACTAAACTTAACGGCTTGCTTGCACTGCAGCTTGTGATTCACAATGTTGACATGGACTCTTCTCAATTTCTTTCTTTTAACTTAGCTACTGTGGACCAAGGACCTGAAAATGAGTACTGTTCACGTGACTGATGTTTGTCGTGCATTGTGGCACCTGACCAGCCATGGCAAGAGTGGCGATGTGTTTAACTTGGCAGACAAGGGTGACTCCAGTAAGTCCTTTGTTGAAAGGATTCCAGTAAACTGAAGCAGTCACTTCTGTGTCCTTCAAGTTGTCTATGTAAATCTTATTGTATTTAATTTATTTTTTCCAGCTCAGGGGAGTATCACAAACTTTGTCTGTGAGATATTTGGAATTCAGCATGACTACTTTGGAACCGTATTGTCCAATATGGCCCGGGTGAGTTGGCAGACTGCATAATGATAGTTATTTGGTCTCTTTTTGGTGTCAAGAAATGTGGCCAAACACGGTCTTTCATATTTGACTCATTACGTCAAACCCAGAGAACTTTGAATATTCCTAAATTCAAACACCAGTGGATTTATGCAGTTGTGTAGCTCTATAATTGACTCACTGGTACATATTATTCTCATCAGTTGAACATGGCAAGTACTGTGGAAGACTCGAATGAAAAACACTTAGCACCTTGGTCGGCAGCTTGTGAAAGGGATGGCATCCATACTACTCCCCTTAGTCCTTATTTAGATCAGGTAAGTCAAGTAGGTCTGCACGGTTATCATATGGCTCCATGAGCGGGCAAGATGAACCAAATCCTGTGCTGTGATTGGCTACCTGAGCAGGCAGGATGGCACGATCTTGCCGGTTCAGGACTACCTGTTGTGTCCTGCAAGAAAATAGCGCTCTTTTTCCTTATAATAAATCCTTTATTGACCAAGCTTGTTTGGTTAAGATGGCTGGATGTTGGTCTCGTTCTTTTTTTGCATGTTTATGGACCTCGACTTCGTCTCGGTGCATGAACATGCAAAAAAAGAACTTGGCCAATAGCCTGCCAGCTTGATCTCACGCTTGGCCTATAACCCATACATATTTTGACATGATTCTGAAGCAAATTTTGATTTGGCGAGGAAATATTCAGTCAGACAACTCTGCAGTGGAGTATAACATGCACGTGTGGTTCTCGATAATACCATGCACATACCAAAGCACTGTGAACTTTTTTGCTGTGTGGTCTTCGCTCTAAGGATTTATATCCTGCAACCTCCCGTCCCTTCCCTCCTCCCTCAGGCTCCAACTCACCCGCACGTCGAGCGTTATCACTGAAAAATAAACAAGCAGCATGAACTATGAGAGACAACAATTATTTGCGAGAGGCAAGGGTGCCTTATGTCTAGTGTTCTAGACTACGAAACGGACTTTCCGGGTTTTAAGCCCTGGCCTCGGTCTTTGTGTTGTGTTCTTAGGAAATACTGACGCCAGCGAATTCAATTTTACAATCGTGGACATAAGTCTTTGGGACACTTACTTAATTTAACGAATTGTACGTGAAAAAAGCGCTGCTTTCCTTTTGAAAGCGAGTTAATTTTCCCCCTCCCCACCCAATACCATGTTGAAAATCAGGAGAAATTGCAGGTGGTAGTTTTCAACATAGTATGTCAGGGGGGGTGGGGGGGACACTAGGTAGGTGAAACTGTTGTATTCGCGTCTGGCGTGTGTGCAAAAGCGCTAAAAGTGCAAATTTGTCCCAAGACTTTTGCCCATGATTGTAGATCATCTTGCTTTAAAACAGATTTTAGAAAAAAAACACCCTCCCTAGCTCGGTCATTCGCCAAAATAATGATTGTGTTTGTACTTCTAAGAATATTCTAAGAAGATTATTTCAATATTTTANTAGGCAGGTGAAGTTGTATTCGCGTCTGGCGTGTGTGCAAAAGCTCCAAAAGTGCAAATTTGTCCCAAGACTTTTGTCCATGATTTTACGTTTAACCCTGTGATGGACTAACATCAGATCCTGACCAGGAGAAGTTACACAGGGCACTTTGGATTGGCTACAAACTTTAACTTCAATCTTATTTTTGTGCATTTTTACCAGGAACTTCTGTACGATAATCACCTGTGTATAAATGGATCAAAGCTGGAACAATCAGGTTTTAGCTACAACTATCCTGAGCTTACTGTGGAAGGTCTAAGAGAGGCGAGTGTTTTAAGTCCTTTTCTCCCTTCAAAAGTGTCGCGATTGTTCTTATCATGTCGTTGGTCGCTGATAAATTGAAAGACCTCGATCATAATGTAACGGCAAGTGCTCACTTGCTTTTTAAATCTTGATTTTCCTGTGTAGGTGCTTGATGATTATGTACAGACAGGACAATTTCCTCCTTCACTGGCCCAGCCAAGATGATGTCTTCAACAGTATGGACGCGGGTATTCCACTTAAAAATGGCGTAGAGAGAAATTAAGAGAATTTGAAAAGAATAAGTGCAATGATTGCACCTTTGACATTCTAAAATGAAAACCACATTATCTGGAGTGAGCCAGAAAGGATTTAGAATGGCTAGTAGTTTTTCCAACTTTATTGTTCTTAACCTGTCTTAAACCATCCTTGCATGTTTAGATAGATGGACACCTTTATTAAAAAGTAAAAATTTAAAGGTAAAAATTTCAGGGTAGTCCCTTCAGGGAGCTTACAAAGCATATCTGCTATCAATAGGAGCCCTGAAGCAATTACGTAACATAGATTACACAATAACAGTATTTTCAATTGGAGTTTTGTGGCTTTTATATAAGTTTCTTGTAGTTTGAACGTAATTTGTACTTCGTGCTCGGCAATTCTTCGTTGAAGCTTCCAAGTGCTCAGTTTTCACTTGTTTTCGTCCAATCAGGAAAGGATACAGTTGGCAATCTCCACCGAGCTACACTGATAGATTGATGCTTCCTATCAAATTTTATTGGTGCAATTTGTAATTTAGAATCGGTATACCCAGGGCAAAAGTGATGAAGAGAAGGTGAAGACATCAGGGGAAAGCTAAAAGGCATCTTTTTGGCGCAAAGAAGTCCACAGACCTTTTATTTTTTGCGCGCTTCGCGATCGTTTTCGCGCTACGCGCACTCAAGAAGAAAAAGCGTATGTGGACAGACCACACCAAAGAAGTGCTTGTTCCTCCGACGGCGAGGACTTCAAGCTTTGAATGTATGTAACGAAATTTCAAGAATATCGTCAGATTTTTGCGAGACTGATGAGGTATTTTTGGTTCAATAGTAATAGTAATAAGTAATAATTTTTTTAAAGTCGCGACACAGAAAGTGGTTGCCCATTCTCCCGAGCCAGGGGCTCATGATAAAAGTGCTTGATGAAGAGAAGATGGATTAATTTTGAAGCCTCCTAGGCACATATAATTTATTTCAATTGCGTTATTATTATTATTCTGACAAGCCGGTCCGCCCTTAATTACTTGATGTACCGGGCGTGGTTTCAGACCACAATAAAATTACAATAAAGAAATGAAAAAAGGAAACACTTTTACTCTTTGAAGTCTTCTATTCTTAACCCGACTTTGAATCTCACGAGCGCGGGAAATGACGTTTTAGGGCATGAAATCAAAGACCTCAATTCAAACTTTGAGCCGTGACGAGCCCAGGTTGGTAGAATCATATTTTTCTCGTAGTTTGTTTCTAGATGGAGACTAAATCGTGTCAAGAGTGGCGACACCACAGAAACAATGAATTCCAGTCATCTGTCGCGAAACGTTTAACAGGCAGTTGTTTGTTCATTCCTATAGCTTCATTGCCTGGTTCTTCTACTGCTTTCTTCCCAGGCCTTCGCGGTCAATTGATTCGATTGACCGTGGACAAATATGGAGGACTTGGAACTAGGCGCTCTGAAGCACTGGTTGTTTGTTGGATAATAATAGGGGACTTACGATAGGGCTTGCCACAAGTTGCCCGGCAACTTTTTGGCAACTTTTCGTATTTCGAGCAACTTTTTTTGTTTCCAGCAACTCTCTGCATTCTGAGCAATTTCTAGTTTTCTAGATATCGGAGCAGCGTTTAGGGCTTCAATTGGCCATGCTTCTATATTTTACAATGCTTCAGTGGACAATTTGTGAATTTCCTGTGAAAAAAGAGCAGTTCCTCCCCCTTGGGGCAGATCACGGGCGAAAGGGGACGAAAGATGTATGCAGCCGGGCTGTTAGGTCAGCGGTTTTTTAAAGAAAATCCAAAATGGCGGACGAAGATTCACGCTCCACTGATTCGAGTGTTTCAGGTTCCGAAGGTCATTCAGATCTTTTGAGGGTAGCCGCATAAGCAGGGGTAAGACTGAGTACTCCAACGAAATTGAAAATGGTTAGAAGTCTTGACCGTGAACAGCAACGACAATTTTATTGGTGCAAATAGAATTTTTAGAAGACTAATATTGTTATATTGATATTGATGCGTAGTATTTACTCATACGTATTGTGAATGAATTTATTCAGCGACGTTGGTTACGACGCAAAATTGCACAAAAATGCTTAGAAAGTTTACTGTTGTTGTACAGATTGCATATTTTTGCATCAAACCAAATAAAAGAAGAGAGAGACAAAAAAAAAACGTTTTTGCTTTTTGTAGCAACTTTTGAGCAAATTTCGTTACAAAAAGCAACTTTCGACTTTTTTTTGGAGCAACTTTTGAGCAACTTTTTGAGAAAGTTCGGGGAACTTTTGGGAAATCTCGAGCAACTTGTGGCAAGCCCTAACTTTAGATTTGAGTACGAGAACGAGATCGAGACGAGAACGACTTTTCAATTCTAGTTTTCAGGCTTCACATTATCACATCACATACCCATTTCATCCCATGAGCTACCCTCTCTACCTAAAACCAACATGAAGAGCGAGAGCTCTGGAAACGTCACTGATCTGAAAATCGAAAATCGTACTCGTACTCAATCTCGTCAGTACTCGTAGTCCAATCTAAAGCTCCCTAAATATTTGGACAATCCGCCTTAAATGGCCCTTTGGTGTATCACCAGTCGTAGTTGCATTCGCCCGCCACGAATTTTTCTTTCGGGTAGGGCGGCCATGACACAGGCTCCTTACATTTAAAATTATTCTGTCAGGCCAAAAATACCGTACAATAACGCGCACGATTACTCATCAATTTACAAACAGCCCCGATAGAATATCGTAATTCGAATATGTGTCAAAATTAGCAGCTTATTTGGACAGCCATGTGAGTAAAGTAATTAACAGGTAATTATAATACGACTACTTTCTAGCTCAATTTGGAATTAATTGCATTCAGTCAAATATTCCTGACTGTCAAATTGGACTCGGCGTGTAATGTCTGGTCCAATTTTTGACGTCCTCGGAACTTTTTTCATCCACTGATAGTCCTATTTCATCGACTGACAATCACTCACTTATGAGCTTGGATCTCAGTGTTAAATCTTCTATCTGCTCAGTTTTCACCCTAAGATGGCCCCATAAAACGTGACTTAGCCCGCGTGGCAAGCGTTTCCGTAGGGAGAGCTTTTCCGCATTCCAGTCGCGCACAAATTGGAGCTTCGTTGTTTGCATTTATTTTGAACATACATTTAAATACGCGATCACACTACTACACCGGAAAAATTTGAAAGCGGCGTTTTCACTCTGATAGCGCATCAAATGTTTTCTGTCCTCACTACGCCGGAGAAATTTGAAAACGCACCGTTCACCGGTCATTCTGGATTTGTGTTTGAGGAGGACTTGGCCCGGGAAATATCACGATTATCGTAATGTCATCGTTTTCGGAAAGCTCCGTTTTCAAACTGTTTTCCGTCCACACTAAAACGCAAAGCCGGCGTTTTGAAATTCCTCCGGTTTGAAGAGCGTTTTCGAAAGCTCCGTTTTCTGGGCGGATTAGTGTGGACGGTAGGCCTAACCGTGGAAATAAATCTGCGAACGTTGTCAAATTTCTCCGACAAAGTGCGGAAATGTTTGTCGGAAGTAAATGCAAATAAAGTTTTTCCTTTTAGTTATCAATATGGTGTTGAATATTATAAATTTACTTTCGTCGCTTTGGCAAACAGAATTGCACACATTTACCGTACTTTTCACAAGTTTAGTCTGAGAAAAGTCTAATATATTGTGAATGAAGTTTCTCCTGCGGGGCCCAGCTGTATGCAAAATCGCGTGACCCAATGAATCAGTTTCGCGTGATGGTCGTTTCCTCCAGTATCAATACCAACAGTCACGCTAAATATACCACTAACATTAGGGCTCGTTTCCAAGGTATTGATCAGTCATGTGTTCCGATTGGTGGGATTGCAAGCCCCCACACTGTAACTTGTATGACCGCTATTGTTTTTCAATATAAATAAAGGTCATCTGTCTGTCGTCCAACTCTCTTCCTATTGATGCATTTTTGACGGGCTTCAAACAGGTTTTACCGGTTCTGCATGCGTAAGTCCCACCTGATCAAAGTCTGGAATATTTGCACGCAAAGCTTCGCTTGCACGCAATATTTGGTCTTGAAAAACGCTAAAGGGACGACAACCAGGCGCTAAAATGGGGATGACTAAAGGACACGGTACCGCTGCTGTGGTTATTGGTACTTTACAGCTGCTTGTGGCTGGTGGACTGATAATCGCGTCGTTCATATTTGCGAGTTATGGCAGTATGAGCACTTCGCAGACTCCATACTGGAGTGGGTTCCCGGTGAGTATACAAACTCCTGAACGATTGATTATTTTGTTGCCTGCTTCGAGAAATAAGCTTAATTCGAGGCATTTCTTTAATTTACTAGTATATGATGAGGTTAGAAACACAGATTGCGTGAGGGATTGTTCACAACCCGGGTATTTTTCGTTCTGTCTGCTTCATGCTCCTTCATGGTCGATTAGTTTCATTGTCTGAACACCTCAATGCGTAATTACGGTTTTTCAAGGGCTGGGACTGAGATCGAATTGTGTAAAGCTGGTATTCCAACCTGAGGTTGGGCTCTTCTCTTTCCCTCTTTATTATTGTGACTCATAATTTCTATATATACGTTATCACAGAAACTCAAAGACAGAAGGATCCCATTTCCTTACAGGAAGAGCGGAAACTTAATTAATGACGCAATGTGTATTTTGCAAACTCCTTGATATGCTGTATAAGCAAAATCGATTCTAACCTCGAATTCAGCGATGAAAGTTGTTTCCTCATTCATGTAGAATGACGTACAGACTTAACACGAAAGCAACCGTGGTGGCAACCGTTGCTAAGGGTCGATCCGTTTCCCAAGTTTACGAACGCGAGTTGATTAGACTTTTAAGAAGCCGAACTTTTTTCCCAATATCTTCAAATCTTTTTTTTTCCATAAGGTTTTCTCAATCATTGGGAGGAATTGCCAGTTTGATTCAAGATGCACGATAGGATTCGGCCCGGTTCTTACATCGCATTTCTGCCGTGTCGAATTCAATTCAATGAATTAAATTCGACAGAAATTCAACGTCTGAATCGGCTGCCGCATTTCTGCCGCACGTTCGACCGGTCTTGTCGCATTATCCGACAGAAATGCGACACCGATTCAGACGTCGAATTTCTGCCGTGTCGAATCTAATGCATACATTATGTTAATGTA